TCACCCAAGGCTGGCACTCCAGAGACGGACTGAGAAATCACCCAAGGCTGGCACTCCAGAGACGGACTGAGAAATCACCCAAGGCTGGCACTCCAGAGACGGACTGAGAAATCACCCAAGGCTGGCACTCCAGAAACGGACTGAGAAATCACTCACGGAGTCTCAAATAAAACAGAAGCTCTACAATTAGTGTCTTATGAAGACCGATGGATGCCATCAGATGCCCCGATTGACCTGATTGCCCCACCAAACTTGTGTCCATTGTTAAATTATATTGGAACACAATCCACACAAAACCGTGTCTGAGCCTGTGCTAGAATAATAAAAATCAGATGTTGTATGGGTGAAATAAGTGAGATTTATATCTACCTCAAAATCAACAGCCCCCCCCCTAACATCTCCCATGAGACTAACGATTCCCCATAATAATGTACATGACATTTAACAAACAAAACCAGACATCGTGGTAACTTTGTCACTTTATTATTTTTAATGTATCTTCATGTATAATGTTTAAAAAAAAAAAACAGTTGGCAACTTTTGGGGCATGAGGCCGCGAGGACATTTAATTATATTTTTTCGGTTTGGAAAGGGGAGGGGGTGTCCGCACGTTGATGTTCTAGGCATCTAGAGTTATAGTTTTAATATACGTCATACGCCTCGAAAATTGACACACATTTCATTTAAAAATTAAGCAGTCGAATAATTATTCATTACTGAAGGATAATTATTATTGCTCTTTGACATATTCACACAGATAATCTTCCAAAATGTGTACGTTTTACGTTAACACTAATCCAGTTACCGGAAGCTCTTGTCGGTGAGATTAAACCTACAGCGGGCCGTTGCATCCCCCCCCCCAAACCCGCTAGGTTCAAAAGAGTATGTAGACATAGTTTTAAATGGCTTAAATTTATATATATATATATATATTTGTATTAAATAATCCATTCTGATTGAAATCTTTAGATCAACTTGTTATACCCCCCCCAAACGCGCTAGGTTCAAAAGAGTATGTAGATATAGTTTTAAATGGCTTAATTTTATATATATATATATATTTGTATTAAATAATCCATTCTGATTGAAATCTTCAGATCAACTTGGTATCGTCCTTTATGGATGGTGGGATAATTTATGGCTCGACAAACGTGTGGACCACTTTACTTAGGTCGTATAAAGAGGGGAAGCTGCTAGCAGATAGTGATGACGTCAAATCAAGCTTCCCCGTTCATAATAACGTCAAATTACCCGTTTTTAATGCTCCCATCCCACGTGATCACGTGATGAAACCAGTAGACAGATTATTCCGTGAGTTGTTAACTGCTCTTTAATCCATTTCTCCAATTCACATTCCTGGATATTTTGATAATTTTAAATGTTATTTTATAATGTGATTAAATTTGTACAAATTATTAATTGATGAACTATGAAACAATGTTGAATCTATCGATCGAATTAACAACTCCCACACGTATTTCTGTCCAAACTCTCCCTCCCCCCCCCCCCCCCCCCATAAAAAAAGCAACAACACCATTTATTTAAGTTAAACAAACATTACTTCTATCGTGACTATTAAAACCAAACATTTGCACACACAAAATAGTACAATTTTTTTTCTTTTAATTGATCTTTCCATCAAGTATTTGTAGTTTTATAAGTCGTTGTCATTTATACAGCAAAAACTTTATCATTAACGTTTTATTCTAGGCATAGGCAACGCTAAGGGCCATGAGAATCCGTTTCTCCTGGCGTTGCAGGTCGTGTGGTTCCGGTGGCACAATGTCATCGCTGACGGAATAGCAAGGACCTCGAACTACACTGACGAGGAAATATTTCACTTGACGAAACGTAAAGTAGTTGGGACATTCCAAGTAGGTTCTTGTGTTTTGACTGCTTTAGTAGTTGGGACATTCCAAGTAGGTTCTTGTGTTTTGACTGCTTTAGTAGTTAGGACATTCCAAGTAGGTTCTTGTGTTTTGACTGCTTTAGTAGTTGGGACATTCCAAGTAGGTTCTTGTGTTTTGACTGCTTTAGTAGTTGGGACATTCCAAGTAGGTTCTTGTGTTTTGACTGCTTTAGTAGTTGGGACATTCCAAGTAGGTTCTTGTGTTTTGACTGCTTTAGTAGTTGGGACATTCCAAGTAGGTTCTTGTGTTTTGACTGCTTTAGTAGTTGGGACATTCCAAGTAGGTTCTTGTGTTTTGACTGCTTTAGTAGTTGGGACATTCCAAGTAGGTTCTTGTGTTTTGACTGCTTTAGTAGTTGGGACATTCCAAGTAGGTTCTTGTGTTTTGACTGCTTTAGTAGTTGGGACATTCCAAGTAGGTTCTTGTGTTTTGACTGCTTTAGTAGTTGGGACATTCCAAGTATTTTCTAGCCTTTTAACATCTTTAGTAGTTGGGACATTCCAAGTAGGTTCTTGTGTTTTAACTTCTTTAGTAGTTGGGACATTCCAAGTAGGTTCTTGTGTTTTGACTGCTTTAGTAGTTGGGACATTCCAAGAATTGTCTAGCCTTTTAACATCTTTAGTAGTTGGGACATTCCAAGTAGGTTCTTGTGTTTTAACTTCTTTAGTAGTTGGGACATTCCAAGTATTTTCTAGCCTTTTAACATCTTTAGTAGTTGAGACATTCCAAGTAGGTTCATGCCTTTTCACATCTTTAGTAGTTGAGACATTCCAAGTAGGTTCTTGCAGCTACCTTTCAACATCTTTCCTAAGAAATATAGTATTCAACCCAATAGCCGGCCCGGCTTGCCGCATCTGTATTCTAGAAAGACAGCATGGGACATTCTTTGAACTATATCAAATAGGGTCGTTTAAGACTTAGTGGAAGTTAGATCAATTGAAGTTTGAAGTTTGCATTGTACAGATGACATATTATATGAAATATAATGCGATTTTTCATTTCTATATTTTTTTATTACTGATTCCAACTCTATAATGTATCACCAGAAAGTTGCCTTCAAAGAATGGCTCCCAGCATTCCTTAACGGAAATTCCAAAGTATCCTCGGCCGATTATTCATACATTTCAAACTACACACGTAAGTAAAATAGACAACAAAAAAATAACGCTATTTAAATTTTAAATAATAAAATTTTTAAATAAAACAAAATAATTCACCAACAATGAGAAAGAAATTGAGTGCAATTTTTGTTTCGCGATATTGGATTTAATTTTTTCATTTTCATAATTTATCAACTCTGTTGCTATGTTCTGTCCATGTATCATATGCTTGTTCTTCAGAGTACGACTCGCGTACTCAGCCTGGGATCACACAAGAGTTTCTGGCGGCTATGGAGTTCAGAAATACAATCACCCCGTCAGCTGTTTGGGCTTTGGGGTAAGAATAGGAACTGAGCTTAATGCCTCCCAGGGCTGTTACGTTGCTGGTGTATTTGTATGTGCGGTATACGTGATTGTGAATGTGATTCTATTCCGTTTGAAAGCACGATTATAATGTCAATAACATTGGAGACTTGCCCACGATTGAGAAAGATTGTATCCCGAGATAGCTTCACTGGTGTTTATATACATTTATATTTCATAACACCTTGTTGCAAATTATAAATAAAACGAATAATAAAGAACAGTTATCATTTCCAGCAGAAGTTTTTTTTAACGTTGGAACTCAGATGTTACTAACGTTCTGGCTAGTAGCTAAATTCATTCAGGACTTGTCTCATGTTATCAGCAATATCATTGGCTTCACTGTAGAGGAATCGCTTGGCCTTGTCACTGCTGTGGACATCTTTGATGAGTTTGCAGTCTGGGCCGTAGAACATGATCCTCGGCACATACACGCCGTCTGGTGTGAAGTCCTTGGTGTTGGGCACCTCCTCGTTCTCCAGATTGACCATCAGAAAGTGCCTGCTCAGATTTTGGATCTCGCTGTTGACCGCGAAGTTCGGTTTCAGTTCATTGCATACGGGACACTGCTTTTTGTGGACCACTATCATGAGGGGCTTGCTGGATCGCTTGGCCTGGACTTTGGCGTCATCCAGTGTCGTCCATTTGATGGTCTCACCCCAGCCTAAATTGATGCACAAAAGGGGAATTGTATCAAAATATTATTGTTTGTGAAAATATTTGTATTGGGATTCTCATTGTTTAAGTTAGAAATCAAATAGAGACAGTATTTAATCATAGAGTAAGAACAACTTGTAAGTTTGTTGTGAGAGAAATTGAATTTGCTGTAAAATCAATGAGTTCATTTAAATGACGAACAAAACCCACTGAGAGACAAAACAAGTTAAACTTAAAGTTGAAACACGATTATTCTAATCTTAATAACAATCGATCTACGGCCACGGTTTAAACCGCCGCCTCAGACTTTTAACACGTTAATCGATTTTGTTCATGTCTGAAAGATAATGTTACATTTTTTTTTTAAAACTGGCGCCATATTTAATGCTTATATTACCACGTGCAAGATTGCTGCCGGCAAAGACGGTCCCAAAACCAGCAAGGTTAGCGAGAGCGATGAGTCTAAAGGCAACCATTCTTGAGCATTATGTTAATCCTTCATATCTCTTCCCGGAAACGATGTTTTGGAAACGCACCTCATGACGTTCTGGTGCCGGCTGGTTTAGCCTGGTGCGTTTTGGTGCCCACCTTTTTATCCACGCTCTAATTCTGCATAGATCAGATATTTTTAATTCAAATGTGAAAAAAAAAATAATTTGTATTTCGTTAATTGAGTCAAAGGTCTTTAAGGCGTTTAATGAAAGCGTTTATAAAGCGTTTAACTCCAATAAGGTTTTATGGATAACAGAATGGTAACAATATCAGAAAGTGTGCAAAAAACAAAAAAAGTTTATTTTGAACATGGATTTCTGTGTGCTAAAAAAAGCATTACGTTTCCTGTGCAACTGATTGTAGCAACAGAGAAACAAAATGCGACGCCTCTTTGTGAGACTTTCGCAGCTTGGTACAGTTTTTGGGATATCATTAACAACAGGGACAAATGACAGAGGTAATCTTTTGAAAAAAAAATAAAGATTTAAAATAAATTAGGTAAGCAGAATTGCTTGTATGTTAGACAATAGTATGACCACAGAGCTTTGTAGACAATGATAACCAGAAAGGCTAATGGCTTATCAAGAGACTAGACCACGATTGCAATCTCTTCAGACTATGGCAGATTTTTAGCGCGGTTTCCAGACTATGGCAGATTTGTTCGAGATACTTCCAGACTAACGCAGATTTTAGCGATGTTTTCGGACTAGGGCAGAATTGTGGCCATGTTCTCAGATAAGGGCAGAATTGTTGCGATGTTCTCAAATAAGGGCAGGGTTTCAGAGATGCGTCCAATTTATGACAGTGTTGCGGAGATATCTCCAGATTAGGGCAGAGTTGCAGTGATATCTCCAGATTAGGGAAGGGTTGCAGTGATATCTCCAGATTAGGGCAGGGTTGCAGTGATGTCTCCATATTAGGCAGTGTTGCACTTATGTTTCAATATTAGTAAAGTGCTGCAGTGATGTATTTGGCTATCTGAAGCTGCTCGGTTATAAATTCCCATCTTGGTATGAGCCTCTATACCTAGTAATAGTATGTCATGAGATGTCTCTATACTCAGAAGTAGTATGTAACAAAATATCTCTATACCAAGTAGTAGTTTGTCACAAGATGTCTCTATAACAAGCAATAGTTTGTCACACGATGTCTCTATACCCAGTAGTAGTCTGTCACAAGATGCCTCTACCCCCAATAGTAGTTTGTCACATAATGTCTTTATACCCAGCAGTAGTTTGTCACAAGATATGTATACCCCCTTTTAGCTGGCACAATATATTTCTATACCCAGCAATAGTAACAAGGTGTCTCGATAACCAGCAGTAGTTTGTTACAAGATGTCTCTATACCAGTGATTATTTCAGAAATTTTCCCCCCGGGGGTCATTTCAGATTTTTAGGTGGTGGGGGGCAGTGCCAGCAGTGCCAGTTGATTTATTGTAGGACATAGTTTTGCTCCGGGTGGGCGGGGGGAACTTGGCTTTCCTCGTGGGGGGGGCAGTGCCCCCACCCCCGGAGATATAGCAGAAAGAAACCCTGCTCTATACCCAGCAGTAGGATGTCGCAAGATGTTTTTTAGCCTCTAATAGATTTGTAAATAAAGCATTTTTTTCAAATTCATGATGGATACCAATTTAATTTTGAGTTACTATAAGCCTCTCAAAGAATGATTGTCCACAATAAATGAAAATTGGCGATGATTTAAGTGGAAAGCATTTTTTTCAATTTTAACCACCTTCAAAAAATGGAAACGTCCCTTATGTCATAAATTAAATTGTTGTATAGAAAGGAGTGGGTGGGGAAAATCGGGGTTGGAAAAAGGGGTGAGGGGTCCTTTCATCCAGAGAGTAGCCCAGACCTTGTGTACCCAACTAACTCCTCTCATCCAGAGAGTAGTCCAGACCTTATGTCCCCAATTAACATCTTTCATCCAGAGAGTAGTCCAGACCTTATGTCCCCAACTAACATCTTTCATCCAGAGAGTAGTCCAGACCTTATGTCCCCAACTAACATCTTTCATCCAGAGAGTAGTCCAGACCTCATGTCCCCAACTAACATCTTTCATCCAGAGAGTAGTCCAGACCTTATGTCCCCAACTAACATCTTTCATCCAGAGAGTAGTCCAGACCTTATGTCCCCAACTAACTCCTTTCACCACGTTAACTGCAGACCCATACCATTTTGATGATGCAAATTGTGTTGATCCTTATGGCCGTACAAACTATCTTGCTTCAGGCTGGGGCGATAGATATGACTGGCACTCGCTGGACGAAGCGTTTCACAAAGCCAGGACCGAGGACAAACCGATGATGGTCGTCATTCACAAAATGACGTGCGCCGCCTGCCAGGCTCAGAAACGGTGGTTCTCGCGAAGCCCGAGGATATTTGAACTGAGCAAGAATTTCGTTATGGTTAACCTGGAGGTCCACGAGGTGCCGAAGAACCCGGACTTTTCCCCTGATGGTCATTATGTCCCCAGGATTTTGTTCTTTACGCCGGGTGGACGTCTGATGTCTCAAGTGAAGTTCCACTACAACAAGGAGTATCAATACACCTACCCCGATGAACATGATCTTGCTAGGAGCATGATGCTAATTATTGACAAGAAAGTTTGACTTGATATATTTATCAGGATCATGTTTGATAGATACCAGAGGATTTAACAGATTTAATGTTGTTTATTTTTAAAGATTTTTTTTCCCAATGTGTGCACGCCGTTTGGTCTTTTTTTAAAATTGAAAGCTTATATTATTATTTTAAGAATGTTTCAATTTAATGATATCTATTAATCTTTCTCGAATAAGTAATGAGTTATGATATAATATTTTTGAAAACATACTATTTACGCTTTAAACTAATAAAAGATGCTTAAAAGACATAAGATAATTTTTTTCTTTTCACTTTTCACAATTCATCGTTACCCGTTTAAAAAGTTGTTGAATTTTCGCTCTAAAACCCTATTCAAATTATTTTAACATAATTAAACATTTTTTTTTTAAATTTTATTTATCTTTCGTGTAATAAAAAAGCTTTTTTCTGTAATTAATAAAGTGCTTCGTTTTTGTTTTTATTTTATTATTTTTTTTTTAATATTCTACTAAGCAACTACCACCTTTTTAAAAAAAGTTACGTTGATTTTATTCATTTAACCTTTTAACTAACACATTTATACTCGCGCTCAACATGTTTTACAAAGATATGAAGAGAAATTATTTTACTTCATTCAAAAGCGATTCACTAAAATTGTTCTTTTGTTGAGGCATTTAGGCGATACAAAACGTACATGAGGAGTACTTTTCATTTCACCAAGTGTAACTATTTAAATAAGTAGGCTACATTTTTCTATCGATCTTTTGCATAGAAATAATGTGGATGGATCGATAGCAGAGCATATAGGGTAATCAAACTATTATTTTATTTTTGTTAAATTTGCATTTATATGTATATACATATATATATATATATATATATATATATATATATATATATATATATATATATATATATATATAACATTATAATATATGATTCTGTCCAACAGAGACAATTGTAACAAGAGTGAGACAAAGGGCAGGGGTCCTCACGGTGAAGAAAGAACCGTGCAGTCTTTCAGACTCTGTAACAACTTTTGGGACTCACAGGTGAGACGATGCAGACCATGCCACTGATCTAGAGCTCTTAAAATTGATACTTTGGTAGCACCGTAGTCCTAGCGCTCCTGATTATACTGACGTGAACGGAACTTCAGGATCATTTGCGCTTTCCATTTTGTCGTCAATAGGTTCATGTGACTCCGTTGTCTAGGGTATGACGTTCACACTGTACACAAATACTTGACCCAATAGTTTTTCCAGTTATTAATCATGAACTTTATTCCCTACTTCAAATTTAATCTAACAAGACCTCCCACAACGCAAACTAACAATAACACTGATACTTGGTATAACGTGCTACCCCCTCGTTCTCCCCTCCTCTAATGACCACCTGAACGCTACTACCGTACCACCCACTTTGCCTTTAGTATCCCTACGCATATAGTCCCCCTGGCAGAAAACAGACTTTCAGGGATTCTAACACATTGACACCATTAGTGCTTTGGAAACTAATCCTGTTAAATGCAAAAAAAAAAAAAAACAAAAAAAAAAGACTTAAATTTGATTACACAAACTATGCTGTTACATATGTAGGTCCTTTTACTGTCAGAAAACAGACTTTCAGGGATTCTAACACATTGACACCAATAGTGCTTTGGAAACTAATCCTGTTAAATGCAAAAAAAAAAAAAAAACAAAAAAAAGTGTCTTCAATTTGATTACACAGACTGTGCTGTTACATATGTAGGTCCTTTTATGGGCTTGAACTAAGGTATCCAAAATATTTAATAAAATCCTTAATCCGATAGAAATGAAATGAAACGATAATCCTTTGAATTATAATATCATACAGTGTTGTTTTGGGTTTTTTTTTTTTTTTTTTTTTTTTTTTTTTGGGGGGGGGGGGGGGCTGGAACTTTGTGAACAGTTGTATGTGATTCTGTCAGTAAATACACATGTCTCAATTAGGTTGTACACGACTCATTCAGATTGTACACCATTTAGGTTGTACTTGACTCATTTAGGTTGCACATGACCCATTGAGATTGTACACCATTTAGGTTGTACACGACTCATTTAGGTTGTACACGACTCATTTAGGTTGTACACGACTCATTTAGGTTGTACACGACTCATTTAGGTGGTCATGAAAGCTGTGGAATTATTTTTAAAAATGTCACCCAACCTTGCCGTATTTAGTTGATTGAAAATCTGCCCGTCATGTTTCTCATATTTCAATAAAAAATTATTGTGGGAGACTTTATTTTTGAAAAAAAATAGACATTACCTAATGCTTTTAGTCTTGTTATTAGTTTCTATTTTACAAAGTCTTCAAATGAAGGATGCGTGTTGATGCCATAAGTCAACGAAATGTTCGTTTCCCTCTCTCCCACGTCAATCCAAAGAAACAAAAGTGACGTTGTTGTTTTTTTCTATTGACACAAATCAGGAAATAGTCAAGACAAGTTTCAATGAAATCATACGCGGCATGATCTACACACGAGGCAAAAGGGAAGATGGACATTTCGTCAAAGACTTTACCGGTTCGTATTGTCACAATTGCAGAGAGGTTGTTGCTTGTCTACGTACAACCTGTCTACTTACAAGCTGTCTACTTACAAGCTGTCTACTTACAACATACCTACTTACAACCTGTCTACTTACAACATACCTACTTACAACATACCTAATTACAACATGTCTGATTACAACCTGTATACTTACAACCTGTCTACTTACAACCTGTCTACTTACAACATACCTACTTATAACCTGTTTGATTACAACCTATTTACAACCTATCTACTTACAACATACCTACTTACAACCTGTCTGATTACAACATGTCTACTTACAACCTGTCTAATTCCCACGATATTATTTAACTTATAAAAAATTCTAATATTACCGAATTCAATATCTAATTACCATCTTCCCATTCAACAGCAGCAGTAAGTGTTTAAATTGGCAATCGTCCTTTTTCTGTTTGTCTGTACTAAAATCAGTTATGTTTCAAATCTTAAAGAAATAATATTCATCACATAGTCTTATCCAAGAAAAGACAAGATTGGTCAAAATTAACAAGAATGTTTGTTGTCACAAAACGTAAAACACTTTAAGATGTAATAAGCCGACCTTTGAAATGAGAAATGAAGCTTCATACTCTCCGCTAAAAATATCAGAAACAGACTGTGACCAATAAACAGAAGTATGCACCCGAGATAGTTTGCCTGGTGTTCCTATGTGATTAAATAAATCGTGAAAAGCTTCATGTTTTAATTTAAAACTGTTTTTGTGTGCCTAAGATCGCAGGGAGTTCCTTGTGTCGCTCTTAAAGGCAGGCAGCAATCCTTACAGACTAGTTGGACAATAAGGATTTTGAACTGCGCGTACTTCTGTAATATCTCTACACGCACTTACTGTTGCGCAACGCCGTCCCCAAGTTCGCACATGCGTACTACAACCACAAATGGTGTCATTAATCTGATGAAACGTTTTTTCGCAGAATCTTTCTACGGGCCATTCGAGTACTCACGCACAGATCTGGTGGCCACGCAAATTCAAAGGTTTCGTGACCACGGGCTGAACGGGTTGAATGCCATTCGGAAGGCATACGGCCTCAAGTCTCTTGACAACTGGGACAGGCTTGGAGGAGCTAACGGTGTAAGTTTGAACATATTTCTCTTTAATTAAAAATGATCATCGTCCCATTGCCTACAAATGGCACTCAGTTGAAATTTGTCAAAAATCAATAAATTTTGTGGTTGTAAATTTGATTTGTTTATTGTATTAGATTATATATAAATATTAAAGAATATGGAGATTATGTATGTAGATATGTTTATATATATATATATATACACACACATATGACTGTTATGGTGTTTTATAATCGGATTTTAAACCAAATATACATATGATGTCATTCGAGATGTGTGTGTCTATTCCAGACAATTAATAAACTCTACGGTGGTCAGGCGCCGGATGATGTGGACCTCATTACAGGAGGTTTACTTGATTCTTTTAACATCGGTGGGATTTCAGATCTGTTCATGGAAATCCTAAAGGAACAGTTTATCCGAGTTCGGGATACTGACAGATTCTGGTACGAAAATGACAAGTAAGTTTATTGTACCTCCTTGCGGTCAAGAATTAAGCTTTATTACAACGAAAAATTGTGTTGGGAAGGGGGGGGGGGGAGTTTACTGATGCACACTTTAAATTTGAATTCTGAAAACTTAATGTGTAGGGATATACTCCATATGCAACGCCATTCGTTTTTATTAAGAGGCACCTAATTCACGTGACATCGAGATTTTAATTGTATCTGATCATCTATGTCAACCAATAGGGTTTCTCATTTCCCGGGATGTGGCTAATCCTTGGAAACGGGAACGAAGTCTTCCTCTTCTGGTGGATTTCTCGGGAAATCCCGGGATAAAATTAAAGTAATAAAAATAATTATTCACCGAATTAGTTAATGAAAGATTTCATTTTTATAGTTGTTAAATTGTTATTGTCCAGCAATTAATAAAAACAATGTTAAGGTTACGAGAGAGGTTGTTCATTTGCTACTAGTTGCTTTATTTCCCTACGTAATCCCTAGTATCCCTTGTTGAGCAAATGTTGGACATAGCCGCCGGGAGAAAAAAACGTTAAAACGTAATGAGTATTTCATTCATGAAATGTCGTTTATTCGTGTTTTTATTCCATCGCTAAATATTTACAAGCAATAGTTTCTACCAACTTGTAACAAATGGGCTCGTTTCCGATAAAAACCAAAAAGGGATTTGATCACAATGACATGTATCTATAGTTGTACAATGCCTTAATCTATTTTTTGTGGAAATAAAAAATTAAAAACTCTAAATAATATAAAGGTAGTTTGACATATGAACATCTTGGGATAATCAAATTACTAAAGCACAGCTTTCAGATGGGGTTGCGAAAGGGTTTGTTGGGAGGGGAGGGGGGGGGGTCGCCATCTGAAATAATAATTGTCTGATAAAAGAAGTGATACTTAAAGAACTTTTTTTTTTAATTTGTGTCTTAAAGTTTAATAGATACAATCTAAATCACGGCATTAAATATGTCGCTAATTTGATCTCTTTGGAAAATTTAATTTTAAAATGTTTTCACTGCCTATACTTTACCCTTTTTGAAAGCCTTTTTTCCCAATATATTGTTG